TGGTTCTGTTCAGATTTGAGAGTAACTAGCAATTAAGTGAAGTAGCGAAGAAGAAAAAATTAGTTGTGTGGGAAAGGAAAACCACAACTGGAAATATGATACGAATAGAAGCTCTACCGCTCAGTCAAACGACTAGGTTGAGATAGAACAATCATCGGGAAGTTCAACTACAATATCAGCTGTAGCCGGTGTTGTAAACAAATTATACGGATTGTAGCGGCACTTAACGTCCTGTAGACGTTTATATACCCCATTAGATGATGGACCGAAATAGCGATACTTCCAGTGATCCGGACTAACATTCTGACCAGGGAAGAACTTGTCCTTCCAAGGCTCGACCGTCCATTGGTTGCTTATATAATTCTGATAACTCTCCTTCAAAGAGCTATACTGATCAATAGCTGCGAAAGCCTTAGCAACCCAATTAGTAGAAGTCTCCATACCAGCAGAGTCACCCTTACTCCACAGAGATGAGACCTGAATATTCCATCCTTGATGACGATGAACAAAGGAGGTACATGGACCATCACCAGAGCAGTCGGTGGGCTCCTCGAGCATCTTACCACCATAGTACTCGAAGGTGATAATGCAGACCGCACGGCCTTCGTTACACTCAGGCTGATGACTCAAATCCCATAAGGTATCCCAAAAAGCGTCAGTCATGTCACTCTGTCGAACGTAGACAGAATTACTCTTCCACGGCAAATCATCATTCAACTTCCAATCATATGCCCAACAGTTGTTCATTGCAGGAGTAGGATCAACACCAGTACCAGGGTAAACCGCATTATCAGGGCAGTCGGGATCAGCCCATTTAGTGCAACCAGCCCATGACCAAGCACCATAGGCAGCATCAGTGAACTTCTGCGATGGGTTAGTGATCCACGTATTCACATCTATTGCTGAGTTAACGTTGTCCATGGTTTGATCACAATCAGTACAGTCACCACTGATTGGATCACACAAACACATACCCTCATAATGCATCTCGAAGTTACTGTGAATCTTCACTTTACCCCACAGACCATTGCTGGAAGGTTGATTAATCATCGCACTCTGATATGCCTTAGTCTTAGCAATGATATCTGCCTTCGACTTAGTATTAGGAGCAAGCCTATCACGGTAGATGTAGACCTTCTCACTGGCTCTTATGGCACTCAAATACCACATAGTGACAACACCATAGTTACCACCCATACCACCACGAAGGGCTTTCACAAGATCAGCGTGTTCATTGGTAGTAGTAGCATGTACTAACTTGAATGGACCACCGTTCTCTTGAACGATTATGTCAACAGCCAGGACATGATCAGCAAGCATACCCCACATAGTGCTGGAATACCCATAGGCCCCTCCTTGGGTTAAACCAGAGACTGATACTCCAGGGCAACTACCACCATTGACACTCAGTGGTGGGTTATGATCGTACAGCCTCGTATAAGCCTCGAGTAGTCTGGTGCCAGCACCTATCTTGGCAACGTACTGACTGCTTAGGAAACCACTCCTCTCGACCTCGACAGAAGTGAGCCGATTCATCCTTATGACGATACCATTCTGTACGGTACTCTGACCAGCGAAAGAGTTGCCCTCATCACTACGGACAACAAAATCGACATAGTGATCGAAACAAATCTGCAAGACTTGTCTGACTTCGTCATCGTTACCGGGACTGACCACCGCAGCAGGAGTAATACTAGTGTACTGTGGCATGAAGACCTCGGGCATATCACTGCCAGTATCAACATAATTGTTGCCTATCAGAGAGCGTATAGCATCTATAGCTCCTTGAACGTCAGGAACACACGTACCACTTTCATAGCAATTAGTAGTAGCAGTTTTGGTACCAGTAGTAGTTACAGCAATCGTCGACGCTGTCGTACTAGAAACCTCTGTTGTGGGCGCTCGAGTCGTTGAAGCGGTAGTTACAGTAGCTGTTGTAGTTAATACCACACCGTCACCACATCTCACTGTAGAACCTTGGCACACTGGTGCATTATCCCAAGTCTTGCAATAGGAAGCAGGTCCCACTTCTTTCTGGCAATATGCGTCCCAATTCACGGTTCCGCCGCTGGTCGTAGTCGAAGGAGCCGAGCCAGATGTAGTCGTTGGGACAGAAGTTGTGTCACCACCTGCCTTGGTGGTAGACACAACATTAGGAGTAGAAGTAACAGTTACTGGAGCGGTAGAAGTAACAGTTACTGGAGCGGTAGAAGTAACAGTTACTGGGGCGGTAGAAGTAACAGTTACTGGAGCGGTAGAAGTAACAGTTACTGGAGCGGTAGAAGTAACAGTTACTGGAGCGGTAGAAGTAACAGTTACTGGAGCGGTAGAAGTAACAGTTACTGGAGCGGTAGAAGTAACAGTTACTGGAGCGGTAGAAGTAACAGTTACTGGAGCGGTAGAAGTAACAGTTACTGGAGCGGTAGACGTAATCACTACACCGTCACCACACTTCACGACAGACCCTTGACAAACTGGATCATTGGCCCAAGTCTTGCAATACGATGCCGCACCAACCTCCTTGCGACAATAAGCGTCCAATCGACAGCCCCAGCTAGCTTACGCTGATCA